CCCGCCCTCCCCCAGGTCTAGGCTGAGCAAAGTATTTTTCCATTCTATCTATCTTAAAGACAGGATCTTTTTTTCCTCCCTCCAACCACAGACCGGGGTGGGGGTGGTATCTTTGTCAGTCCTGGCTATCCTGGAATTCACACTCTGTAGACCAGTGCCCCGACCTGCGGGGTACCACTCGAGCTCACACCCCGATGTGCTGCAGTCACCGAAGAACCTAGAACGATAGGGTCGGCGAGAACAAGGAACGGCAGACAGCAAGACAGGTTTCTGATGAAGCTGCCAATTTTTATTTTTCACAGGGACCTGATATAGGGGTGCCAAGCGGGGAGCTTGGCAGGAAGGGAGAGGTCGTTTGAGGCTGCTTGCCTGATAACCAGGCTGGGGAATGTCCCTGTGTGTGAGTCCTTGAGGGTGCAGGAGGTTAGCATGGTCACACACAGGGTTCAGGTGTTAGATAGTGGCTTAGAAGGGGGGGAAGGATTGCTAGGTAACCTGACCATGAAATGTGTCTTTCCTTCTATAAGCTACTTCCTGAGCCCAGATGTTATGTATCAGGGAGGAAAGGATTGAAGGCAGCTATCCTTTTCATTAGAATGAGTTATCCTGGCAGCTTCTGCCCAAGTCTCTTACAGGTCCAAGGTTACTTTTGCCATGGCCCCCCTTGGCAGACCAGGCCATAGATCTGCCTGCCTCTGCCTCCACCAAAGGCTTGTGAAGCACCACTGCCCTGCAGGATTCCACATTTTCAGAGAATTAGCCGGGAGAGCGGCCTCTGCACATAGCCTCAGGAATCAGTACGTAGACCAGACCTGTCTGCAATTCACAGAGTTCCAAACTTGTCTGTGTCTCCTAAATGATGGGATTAAAGGCATGCACTACCACACCTGTTTGTTTCTGTGACTCCGGGGAAGTTTTTATCTGTCTGCCTGCTTTTAACTTCTTTTTCTGTTACTTTATTGTGCATTAAATTTATTTTCAAATTAAAAAAAAAAGACTTTCAAAACTGGGGGCTGCAGAAGTAGCTCAGTTGTTTAGAAGACTTGTTGCTCCTTTAGAGGACCTGGAGCTAATTCCCTGCCCTCACGAGACAATTGTAATTCCAATTCCAAAGGTTCCAATGCGCTCTTCCCGCCTCTGACATGCAGGCAAAACACTCATACACAGAAAATAACATTTTAAAAAAGATGACCAAAGCCAATGATAGTTTTAATTTCATTACAAGTGATTTTAAATTATATGTGTTTCTGTGGGGTATGATAACATGAGTGCCAGTGGTTGCAGAGGCCAGAGGTGTGGGATCCTCCTTGGAGCTGGAGTCACAGGTGATTATGAGCTGCTTGATGTGGATCCTGGAATTGAACTCAGGTCCTCTGGAAAAAGCAGTATGTGTTCTTGTTTTGTTTTGTTTTGTTTTGTTCGAGACAGGGTTTCTCTGTGTAGCTTTGGAGGCTGTCCTAGAACTCGCTCTGGAGACCAGGCTCTTCTCAAACTCACAAAGATCCGCCTGCCTCTGCCTCCCTAGTGCTGGGATTAAAGGCTTGCGCCACCAACGCCCAGCTGTAATATGTGTTCTTAACTGCTTTAGCTATCTCTCTAGCCATAAAACAGTCCATTGTTTTAGTTTTGTTTTTGTGAGACACAGTATCGGTGTATTTCCCTGGCTGCCCTTGAACTCAAGAGATCAACCTGCCTCTACCTCCCAAAGTGCTAGGATTAGTGGCACGAACCACCAAAGATCTCTTTTGAGAAGTCTTAATTTTGTCAGCATCTTGGAACTTAGAAATTCTAATACACCAAGAAAAATGCCTTATCAACCATGGGCACCATCCCCAGGATCATGGAAAGTTTTTTCCACCACCACCACTTCCTCCTCCTCTTCCTCCTCCTCCTCCTCCTCCTCCTCCTCCTCCTGAGACAGGGTTTCTCTGTACAGTCCTGGCCATCCTGGAACACTCTCTGTAGACCAGACTGGCCACAAACTCAGAGATACTGCCTGCCTCAGCCACCAGAGTGCTGGAAATGAAAGTGTACCTGGCTTTGAAAAATTTTAACCTCTAGGGACCAGTAAATCCTAATTAAAAGCCCATGATCTAGGAGTTAAATAATCTACCTCCAACTTCCAGGAAGTGCCACAACCATGGCCATGGAAAAGATGTTTCTTTGGTTTCATGCCAGGTCTTCATGTCAGATGAAGCATGAATAAAGGGTTGAAGCTTCTATTTGAGCTTCCCTGCTTTTCTCGTCACTTTCTCCATAGGAAATGATGACCATGGAAAAAGTTCTGGGTAAATGGGCACTTCCGTGTCTACAAATTATATACACATACCCTCTGTACCACATTGACAAATTTCCGGTGGTTTTTCAAGTCCTACACAATTAATGGGTCCTCACTGGTAAAGTCTCTGGAGAGCCCATAAAAAACAGAGTCTACTAGCATTTCTTGAAGCTGAAAGATCCCCCCAGACCCCTAAGGGCCTCAAGATCCTGAGACTCAGAAACCAGACCAAGAGCTGCAAAAGCAAGAGGGTTTATTGAACGAATGCGCATTCGGGTGTCAGCCATATCGGGAAAGCTGCACACCCCAGCATGGGGTGCAAGCTCCTTATATAGGAAAAAACCGCAGATCAGCATACAGGCAAGGGGCACAAAGCGATTGATTTCAAAGTATGATCTCATGTTAGAGTGGTCACCCAGGTGTGACCTGCTTTTCTACAAAGAAAAAAACCACAGAATGTACCCTAGAAAGTCCCGGATTGTCTGTTGGCCAGCCAGGTGTCACGCAAAGAGGGCTGCTTTGGTGATCGCCCCCATCTAAATCATAAAATGTGCCCTAGGTTGGAGCCACCTTCCTTACAATGGGCCATGGCCTGTGGGAAACTTTTCTCTCTGTGAACTAAAATCTTTCAAAACTTAGCAGCATTCAGTTCTTTGCCCTTCAACATAAGACCACTGGCAAAAAAGATGTCTCCAAATTCTCTGTTTCTTTTCATTCTTGAGATGGTGTGTATTGAACCCAGAATTATGCATATTATAGGGGAGTGCTCTAAAAGTAAGCTATACTCCAATCCTTTTTCAAATTGATTTTTGAATTTTAAAATTGTTTTATTATTTTCTGGGTGTAGATGTTTTTTTTTTTTCCTGCATATGTGCCTGTGCACCACCCATGTTCAGTGCCCACAGAGAGCAGAAGAGGGCCTTGGATCCCCTGGAACTGGAGTTAAAACAGATGGTTGTGAGATGCCCTGTGGGTGCTGGGAGTCAAACCCAAGTCCTCTGCAAGAGCAGACAGTGCTTTTAAACACTGAGGCACCTCTCCAGCTTTCCCTTCCTTCTCCTCCTCCCCCTCCCCTCTTTTCTAAAGAAGACCACACAAATGCAGGCCTACACTATCACAAATTACACAATGAAGTTTCCAAAATTCAGAGATATTTCGTGCAGGGCTTAGCTATCCCGAGTGCAATGAATGAGCCTCGTCTTGGGAAAACCACCCTTCTGATCATGGTATTTTCTCTGCCAGGTAAGTACGCACTTATCCTTGTTGCTTTCAAAAAAGATATTGTTGGACTTGGTTGTGGTGGCACCTGCCTTTAACCCTGGCACTCAGGAAGCAGGTAGATTTCTCTGATTTGAATGATAGGCTGGTCTACACAGAGATTTCCAGGACATGGAGATTTCCATAGAACACATGTCAAAACAAAAATCACCTGAATGTTAAAATATCAAATCATTTAGTGATTCTACTTGGTTTCTTTTCTTTTTTATTGTTGTTTTTTCAAGACAGGGTTTCTCTGTGTAGTCCTGGCTGTCCTGGAGTTCTCTCTACCTGTCTCTGCCCAGGAGTGCTGGAATGAAATGTGTGTGCCACCACTGTCCAGCTTTAGTTTGATTCTTATTTCCATGTAGATTTTACTTTAACCTTGCAACACGGTCCTATTCACCATGCTTTTGAAGCACAATTATGTCATTCATAATCTTCATAAAAAAGAATTATGTGCAATAAATAACACCATTTGGGCTGGATGGTGGTGGCGCTCACCTTTAATCCCAGCACTCAGGAGGCAGAGGAAATTAATAAATCCTTTCAAATATCTGTGAAAACACAGTGTTGGAAATGAATTGTTCAAGCCCTGAAAATGGATATGGAATCCATAATGAAAACAAACTAGTTCCTGGGTCTTTCTTCCTGCTGTGAAACACTGGGGCTGTGGCCACTGATTTCTTTCACTTCCACCGTGCCATGGCCTTAGAAGGTCAATCTGCAATCCTACCTCAGCCCGAGAAACTCAAACTGGCTCCTTCTCTGTAGCTGGAGGACAAGTCAGCATCTCCCAGCCTGTCAAAGGGAGAAAAAGAACAGCAAGAAGCAACAGAACACATTGACACACAAAATAAATTAGACAGACTTATTGAACAAGCCAGTGAGGAAATTTTGAACAAACATATAACAAACTCCCCTAGCTAACCATTTTTTTTCAGAATAGTTCAGAATTGATTGCCAAAATTCCACATTTCTGGGTAAAGACATGTGTCAACCATCCACAGGTGTCTGCACGGCGTGGGGAGGAAGATGACGAGACTCTGCATTCCTTGACCAGAGTTGAAGTGACAGAATTTGACAGAAGTGACCGAACAGATTTGCATTTTGATGAAATCCTTATGTCGAAAATAAAATTCTCTCCAAAGAATTCCATCTGAATGGGAGTGGTGACCCAGCTTCAAAGTCCACTGGAATCAAATGGAAAGTGGGAAAGGATTGGACAAAATGCTCAAGTCAAACACGGAATAAGGGCAGCAGGAAGAGAGGCAGCATGGAGAACCAGAAAGAACCAGACTGGTTTACTGCCCAGTCTGAGGAAGGGGCAGATGAGTTAGGAGAGGTCATCAAAGACGACATTTGGTCAAACCCCTTGCAGTACTATTTGGTTCCTGATATGATGAGGAAGAAAAGGCTGATACTGATGAGGAAGAGGAGGAAGATGAAGGGAAGGAGAGGAGGCTGGGGTGAGGATGATTAGCATAAAAGCCTGACGGGTTCCACCTCTTTTTCATTTTCTTTTTTATTTTCTGCAGTCACTGGGAGCAAATCATTTCCCTCCCCTCTCCAACCCTCTTGTGCTCAGTCACCCTGTTTTTGAGGTCTCCCTTCTCAAAACCATAGTTCTCGACTTATTTGAGGGGGGAAATACCTTGAGGAAAATATAGTGGGAAAAGAAAAAAAAGAAAAAACACAAACTGAGGGAATTCTGGAAAAGAAAAAGAATTCAACCATGAAGAACAGTGATAAAGTCTTACTAACAGAATATAAGGGATGGAGGCACCGGGTGGTGCTGGCGCTCGCCTTTAATCTCAGAACTTGGGAGGCAGAGGCAGGCGGATCTCTGTGAGTTTGAGGCCAGCTTGGTCTACAGAGTGAGTTTTAGGACAGGTTCCAAAGCTACACAGAGAAACCCTGTCTTAAAAAACAGAGAGGGGTGGGAGGGAGGAAGGAAGGGAAGGAGGGAGGGAGGGAGGAATAGGGGACCGAGAATCTTAGGCATTGGAAATATGATAGAAGAAATATATACATCAGTTAAACAAAATATTAAATCTAACATGCTCCTGGCAGAAAACATCCAGATCTGGAACAGTATGAAAAGTCAAAACCTAAGAATAATAGGAATAAAGGAGAAGAAACCCACATCAAAGGCCCAGAAAAATGTTTTCAACAAAATTATCAAAGAAAAATGTTTCAGCCTAAAGAAGGTGATGTGTATAAACAGTGCAAAAAGTACACACCAAATAAAAGAAAGTTCCACACCACATAAAAATCAAAGGATAAAACATACAAAACAACAAGAATATTAAAGGCTGCAAGGGAAAATATCAAGTAACAGATAAAGGCAGATCTATTAGAATTACACCTAATTTGTCAGAAGCCAGAAGGGCCTTGACAAATGTTTAGCCGACTCTAAGAGACCACAGATGGCAAACAAGAGTACTGTATGCAGCAACACTTCAGTCACCATAGATGGAGAAAACATATTCCAAAGTAAAGCAGTATTTAAACAAAATTGGTCTACAGAATCAGCCCTGCAGAGGTGAAAGAAGGGACACTCCAACCTAAGGAGACTGACTACACCCATGAAAACACAGGGGTAGGAGGTAGAGGCAGGTGGATCTCTGTGAGTTCCAGACCAGCCTGGTATACAGAGTGAGTTCCAGGGCCACCTCCAAAGCAATACAAAGAAACCCTCTGTAGAAAAAAAAAACAGAAGAAAATAATAAAAGCCAAAAATGAATCAATAATCATTGGCCATTGATAGCTCTCAGCATCAAAGGTCTCAATCTCCCAATAAAAAGACACAGAATAACAGGATCCATCCTTGTGGTGCATCCAAGAGTAACCACCTCAACATCAACCATAGACGTCGTATCAAGGTAACAGTTTAGAAAGACATACCAAGAAAATGGACCTAAGAAGCAAGCTGGCATACCCATTTTAATATGTAAAAATATAGATTTCAAACCAAAACTAAGGAGAAGATATAAGGAATGGCAGTATATGCGTATCAAAGGAAAAACCCACCCGTGTCAATCTGTGTATGTTTCTCTTATTGGCTGATTAAACTCAGGTCAGGAGACTTGGTGTTGGGCCCCCGTTACCAGATGTATTGTTTCAGCAGGTGTATTAGGGTTCTCTAGAGTACCAGATATGAGCGTTTGTCCTCATACACACAGATTTATTAGAATGACTTACAGGCTGTGGTCCAGCTAGTCTAACACTGGATGTCTACTAATGGAAGGTACAAGAACGCATTAGTTGTTCAGTTCACAAGGCTGAATGTCCAGCCAGTCTTCAGTACATTCCAGAATGTCCAGTGCTGGTGAAAAATGGACCAGCTAAGAACAGAGCAAGTTTCCTCCTCCCCTGTCCTTTATATAAGCTTCAAGTAGGTGTGTCTCAGAATAAAAGTAAATGGATCTCCCAACCTAAAAAGATTTAAGAAAATACTCTTCACAGAAGTTGCTTGTATTTTAGTTAATTTCAGATGTAGGGAAGTTGACAACCAAGAATAGCCATTACAGCAGGAAACACACATTTCAAAGCAATTAGTTTATTAGTTTTTCTACACATCCCTTTGGATTTTGTCACTCACACGACCCTGTGTATAATTATCAGGACAGTTTTTGGTAATTGTCTTTTTAAACTTACTGAGAACTTTCAGCTTTCGTATTTTAATGACTAAATGAAGCATTTAAGAACTCCCTGACAGTGAACCCCTCCAAAAAACAAACAACAACAACAAAAAGAACTCCCTGACAGTTTCACTTATGCTTGCTGGACAGCGTCCTGAGCTGTCCTTCAGGTGTGGGATGTCCTTACTTAGTCTGCAGGGTACACCCCAAAGCTGAAAAGGCAGTGGTTTGAAAGGCACTAGGACTGTGATTTGGTCTGCTTCTTGAAGTTTATCCTGTATGTGTTTTCTGATGCCCAACAAGGTGTGAACTCTGGATGAAAGCCTTCCCACACTGGGTGCACACATACGGGCGCTCCCCAGTGTGAGTTCTCTGATGCCTGGTGAGGTGTGAGCTCTGGCGGAAGGCTTTCCCACAGCGCTGACAATGGTAGGGTCTAGCCCCAGTATGAGTTCTCAGGTGCTGAGAGACGGCTGAGCGGTCACTGAAGGCCCTCCCACACTCTGAACACTCAAATGGTCTCTCTCCACTGTGAATTCTATAGTGCTGGGTGAGGGAGGAGCTCTGAACAAAAGCTTTACCACAGGTCAGACACATGTAAGGCTTCTCTCCCGTGTGGATCTTTTTATGGACAGAGAAATACCTAGCATTCTGGAACAGTTTACCACATTCACTGCAGCGGCAAACTTGGCTCCCCTTGTGAATTTTTATAAAAACTATCTGCCGAGCTTGCTGGCTGGTGTCTCTGTCGCAATTGTTGGTTTTCCTTGCAGTGGCCCCCTGGGGATCCCTCTGGTAACCTTTCACATGGGGACTGTATTTAATTGGAGTGTTGATTTCCCTGTCTTTCCCTCTTTCCCAGGGCTTCGGGCGAATTTTTATATAGGGAGCGTGTTTTGAAGAAGTACTAATTTCCCCAACTCTCCCACTGTTAGAACCCTTCTGGTTAGCTCTTCCATGTTTCAAGGAATTCCTCCTTCCCTGGACTTTACCACCCACACAGCCTTTCTGGAGAATTCTTACAGGTGAAGCCTGTGTCAAGGAACAGTTCCTGTCCCTGGATCTTCCTACCTCAGCCCCCATCAGGTGATTCGGTATAGATGAACCTTGTGCCAGGGCATTGCTGCTTTCCCCACTTTTATCCTGTCTAGGAACTTTCTTGTGAATCTTTACATTTGCATCCAGTGTCCTGGCATTGCTATTGTCCCTGACACTACCCGCTTCAGAGCCAGTGGCTTTTTGGTTAATTTTTGCAGGTGTTAGAAGAAAAATGGCATCTTTGCTGTCCCTAGCTTCACTCTTCTCAGAACCCTGTTCGTGGTTTTGTATAGAACCATGTACCCTGGAAT